AGTGGAAACCCCCCACTTTTTGCCAAACCAAAAGTCCCAGATAACGTGTTTCTGCAACTGGTCACATGAATGCCAAACCAGAATACGTGTGAACCTCCAAGAGCCACGTCTACTCCCACACTCCTGCACTATCCCTGCCCTACTGGTTTCTAATCTGCAAAAAAAGCCTCCTTTCCTCATACCACTACACCAATACCACCTACAACACCATCTTATTCTGAAATAAAACCAAAAGCAACACGAGTATGAAAAAGTGCAAACCACAGCTCTGAGCCTTTAAGGAGCCATCTGAGAACTACAGCACATTTTTGTTCAGGAATAATCAATGAGGACAAATGACAGAAATCAGTAAACAACATCAGGTGCAAAAGGGCAGTACAAAACCATCTTCACCTAGGGTTTTGTTCAATCATTAAAGACCAATTAGCAGAAAAAATATTAAATCAGATGTTGCTCATTAAAAAAAAAAGATGCATTAATTAAAATGAATTTAACACTTACAAATTTATTTCAGAAAAAGGGTCTACGAAGTGGATCAGAAACCAACTGTATTCACTTTGGCACCTCAAATTTTAATTTCAGGTGAACTTTGAAGTTAGGCAGCTAAATTTTCCAGAAGCACCTAGATCACTTAGATGCCATATTGGAATTATTTCTAAAGAACAGGATGTGAAGTTCTTGCCTTTTGTGTCTACTTCCTACCAAGACCCATCTCTCAAAAGCGATGAAAGAAATTAAGGAACAAGCACTGTCTGACAAACATTATTTGTGGTATTCAAAGAGGCAGAGCTCTTCTTACTTGTTAAACTTAAATTAAATATTAGGGAAGGAATACCCATGATCTCAGCCCTGCTACAGACACTGGGCATGGCCACTGAGGAACAGGAGTGACTGCAGCTGCAGACAGCCCTGATTCATTGTCCTAGGCAGTGACACAGCATCGTCACTGTCCTCATCCTATTTTCCATCTGCAACTGAAAATACCAGCAATGTGAGACCAATGTAAAAAAATTCCCATTTCTTTTTTCACTGCTCTGTATGTCAATCTGCAATACTGGTGTGATCTATCATGAAGTAATAGAGGAATAAAGCAACAGCAACCCCAGCAACATCTCAGAGCTGCCAAGGCAGGAGGGAGGGAAGAGTGTGTTCCTGAGACAGCCTGGAAAAGGTGGCCAGAGGTGGGGTCGGGACCACAGGGGTCAGTCACTAGGGCAGAGTGCTGCTTTACTTTTACAAAATCAAAGACTGGGCATTATTCTTGGGCCACCATTCTGTCATCATGGTCCTTTCAGGGCTCAGGAGGCAGTGAGGTGACAACCAAGGGACGAGAGGGGCGGTGCAGTGACCCTCGGTCCAGGCTCACTGTGGGACTGGACACAAGAGACCCTGGTGGGCACACAGGCAGCTCTGACAAAAACACCTCAGCCCCAGGAACTCTGCAACAAGGGACAGATTGTTTTCCAAGCCCGCAAGTATCTCTTCCCTTAATTTATACAATTTTCAGTTTCTGCTACGGGAACCACCCTCAGTGCAGACACTGCATCTCTCCATCCCTACATCCTACTCTGTGCAATACTCAAATCTGACTGTGGAGGTTTTCATGAGCAAAACCTGGACTGTCTAGGTATTAGTGCTGTGTATTTTGGCAGAGACATCTCCATCTATATTAGCTATACCCAAAGTTCAATAAGAAGTTGTATTGATTTTTCCCTTCAAGCATATATATATTTGATGAAAAACTCACTCGTGCCTCCAAAAGCTGCCTAGACATTAAGCTGATCCCCCTTCTGCCTTCAGCATCTGCTTTTTTTTTCCTCAAAATGAAGCTGTACCGGGGTCTTTTGACAGAACATTAAGAATAGCATGTATGCTGAAGTGATATGCCTCTAATACATGGAAGAGGCACACAACACTGTCAGTGCCATCAGCCTCCTTGACCAGACTTCCCATACCCTGCAATATACCTTTTTTTTAACTGGGAACAGTTCCAATATCTGAATCATCAGGACAAGTCTTTTCTTTCACAGAAAGCCCTGAAAAACAAAAACAAGCTTCTTTCCTTGCCTGTAGAAATTGGGATATTTTGCCTAACTCAAATTATCCCACACTAAGGACAACTTTGAATAAATGCCAAGTTCTGATAATTCATCAGTGCTTAAGTCTAAAGGCATATTTATACTACTGTAAAGGAAAAATTCCCAGAGATGGGATGATTGTGCCTGCCATAACACAGCCCCAGACAGCTCCTACACATTGCAAAGTCACCTGCATCTCTAGAAGTAATTGAATTGTTGATCTTAGAAGATTAAAGCAGCACACCAAATGCTCCTCTTGCTAATTTGGCACTCTACAGAAGGTCTAACTGGTAACAGGAGCCTGAACACACCTGTACAAGAATATATAATGACATTCAAAAATACATTTAAAAGTAGTTTAAAAGAACACTATTTTGCTTTTCTGTATAGCATACAGGATATAAAACAGCTATACTAAAGCAGCCTGTGGTATATAAAGTTTTTGTTTTGTGAAAGAATCATCCTCCCAAGCTGTATGCAGAAACTTGCCTGAGTGCCTAACCCGTACATAAAAACCTTAAAATTTAAAGCTGTTGGCTTTGTACAGTAGAAGCAGGAGAGTCTACTGAATAAACTCTTATCAAATGGGCTGAGAGTCACAAGGGATCCAATTAAGATAAAAAGTTCAAACCCAGGACATTTCCTCTTCTTTCTGACTGTTCAGGCCAACATCAGACATCTGTTCTCACTAATTTTTTAATTAATCCCCTTTGAAGCAAACTATTCAAAACCTGACAATACCTCATCTGTCCGATAAGGACCCCCCTCCAGCAGAAGGTGCTATTCTGAATTAAAATGCTCCTCCACTGATGCAGTTGGAAACACAACCACAGCTTTGTGTAGAAAAACCAGTTTTGCTGAGTCAAGCCAAAACATTAGCAGAGATGGAAATACACCCTGTCTTGTAACTGCAGGCCACTATTACACAGGCAGCTGCACTGAAATGGTCTGCAGCTTGTCCCACAAGTGACCTCTGCTCTGCTTTCTGCAGAATTAACCAATCACAGTAACTACTTCTGCTAGTTCAGTGTCAAACAAATTAGATAGGATGGCTTTTCACAAAAAGAAACTCACCATCTTTGGTTACCTTTACTTTGCCTCAAACAGATTCTATGCACATAAAATTCTGCTCACCCACTTCCAGTAATGGGAGCATTATTTGAAAATAAAGAGATGATAGAGATGAAGAAGCCCATGACTTCTCCAGATGACATTATACTTTAATAGGTACTGCACAAATTGCTCACAACATTTTGAAAAATTTTCAGTATTTCTCAGACTCCAAAGAGCTCCCACCATCTTTCATTTCTTACAATATTTATAAAGCTATGATGTTTTTACTTTGCAGAATTGCCATTTAACATTCTTGAGTGATGCTACTCAAACCTTCCCAAAGCCATTCCTCTCCTGTAAATCTGAAAGCCCATTTTATGCCACTCCAAGACTTAGAAACCCTAAAGTAAGCCTACATGCATGAGTGGTCCATGCTTGAGGCATTATGGACTTACAGGACTGGAATTCACACAGTGTGAGTAGTGCCATGCCCAATTATTTTAGCTAAACCAACCTAATGCCATGGCAGAAAGGAAAATGGCTTCATACTTTATTCACTCACAACTTCCAACACCTTTTGCTTCCTTCATTTATCAGTCCAGAAACTTCTCAAGCAAGGACACCCCTCTCTCTCCTCAATATCTCCAATACCTTATCTGTTTCTTAGCTTGACCAGAAAACCCTACTGAGAAGTTCTTGTGGACCCCATCTTGTTTTTAGAAGGTACACATGGATACAGATCAATCCAGAAGAATATTTAAACATACTCCAGCCTCACTGCCTTCAAGTGCTCAAGTGATGTGCTGGAGCAGAGCCAGTACCACACTACCCTGCGAGGCCACAAGGAACACCAGAAATATCCTTCTCTACCTTGTGGGGGTCTACTTGCAAGGTAAGGTTTGTTAAAACAAATTCCCTCTGTGTTGGAGGGCACTCTAATGACCTAAGACAGCACACATAAGAGAGACTGCCAAAAATTTTAAGGGATTGAAAATTAGAAAAAAAAAAAAAAAAAAAAAAAAAAACAAGAGGGGGTGCAGGGGAAAGAAAAGACATCTGCTACACCCACAAGACATTTGTTAAATTATGGTATATATTAAAAATTCTGCAGATACAAATGTGGTCTCAGTTATCTCCTGCTGAAAGAACAAACACTCCACTGTGCTCTTGCACAATACTTGAGCATGGCTGCTGATGGCCTGGTGCACAAGGAATTTTCCCTTTCTAAGAGTAAGTATAGGTAATCTCATCTCCCCTGTAACTCTAGCCATGGAGAAGAGATAAGAAAATATATTTAAGGAAAGTTCCCAAAATCAAAAGAAATTATACAGGGATTGCAGTTACATACATTTAAAGAAAATAACTGCAAAATCATGACTGCACATCACATTTAAGAAGACACTAATAACAGCACACAGTCTGAATATTTACCCTCTGAACCACACACTTATTTTCCTTTGGGAAGACAAGACTTTAGCACTTGAAAAAAAACATACTATAATCAAAATACAGTAATTTTACACCCTTTTTTAAGAACTGATACACACCAAGGCAATAGTGACTCCACACTTCAAGGAGACAATACAGTTTTTACAATGTGTTTTGACAAAAGATCTATTTATTATTATTTCCATACTGTGAATTGATGTGTTAAATCATAACTCTCAACAAAATGAATATGGATTTACACATGAGACACTAACAGCTCCAAAAGGAGCTGTTAAAGAATAAAAGAACACAATGTAAGGATTCAGTGAACTGCAGAAACTGATACCTAACAAATACTGTAAATGCACGTAATACTAAATTGCACCAAACTACAGTCCACTTTTATGACAAATAAATAGATAAATCATTGAGTGTCCTTACCAGAACTACTCTCTGAAACCCCACAAAATTGTGATGTGGCAGCAGTACAGCCCTTGGTATTACACCACCTGTAACACAAACCATATTATGATAGTTTCTATCAATATTTATTTTAAAGAATGTAAAAAGGATAAAAGCTATTTTTCTACCAGTCTTTTTACTGAAAGAATTAAAACAACATTCAGTTTCCTACTGATAACAATATATGCTTAGTTAAGAAAATAAACAAACAAAAATTAGAGACCTTAATTATTTACATGGAATTTATTTAAAAAACAAATTAGTCACAGTTTCACCTCTATCCTCTTCTCACTCTTTTAGATGAAAGCAGATCACCACCACAGAACAGCACATTAGCTTCAAAGGAATTTCTGTTCTTTTTGTCTGTCCACATTGACAAAGGGGAACTTTATGAGACTCCAGAAAAAGTTTACAAAGGGGTAAGTATTGATGCAATAGATATTGCAGTGTTAACCAATACAAATAAAATGATTCAATAGGAAAATAAAAACCAGGAAACACAAGGCCATGATCAAAACATCCTGTGTTTTCAAAAGTGACCATTCAGGAGCTGAATTTCACACCAACAAATTATAAAGAGCCAGTTATATGAACAATCCTTAAAATATCCTCATGAAGTTAATTTCTACAGGCGACTTCAAAATTTAAACATTGTGCACCTGCGATCAGAATAATTTCTGATCCTGTATTCATGTACCACGGTGTCCTACCACCAATATTCATTACAGATTAAATCATTAGAAAGTGATCTTATGTAAACTAAGGGATTAAGGAGAAGATTTGAAAGCAGAAGCAAAGGAACACTGTCTGGGCACCACAAGAAAAGAATCCACATGTCAAAAAAATGGTGTTTGAAGCAGGATGCACTCAATAGTGAAACAGCCAACTCTGCCCTCTGGAAGAGGATCTGGAAAGGAACAAACAAGTTTCTAAGTACTAAACTCCAGCTACAAAGGCTCACAAAATACATTACAAATAACACTAAAACTTCCAAAGCATCCCCTTAATACTAGGATTAAAACTAAGGAAGGCAACACATGCCTTAAACAGGACTTAGCATTTCAGACTTTCCATCATCCTAAAAGCAACCAGTGACCTCTAAGAAACCCTCTGCTATTTAGTCTGTTGCTAAGCTCGATAAGACTTGAATTTTTTTTCCCTCTTTTGATTGGGGAGCCACAGGGTATTTTGGTCAGTAATAATTTTCCATGTGTTAATTCCCAAGAGAATAAAGTAAATGTCACCTCTTTCCCTCCTGAAAAGCCTCCAACAGCCAAATGGACAAAAATCTCCAAAAGCATGATAGCACCACCCTGGACTGGAAAAATGTCCTGGTCCTCCTTCAACACTGACAGTAGTTCACAAGAACTAAGTGAAAAGGTCCTGACCCTGCATTAATGTAATTTTAATTCCCTGCTAGGCTATTATGTACTGCTTTGATCATTTCTACAAACCTAACTGTACATGCCAACTGCATTGCTAAAATTTGATTTGGAAAAAACAATCAGAAGCAAAGTTTAAAAAGCTCATAAAATTTTAACTCCAAGTGCAAAAGGTCATTAAAAGGGGATGTTGATCCTGCTGGTTGAACAAACAAGACAGAGCAGTAAGTTTCAACTTTTATGCTTTGAACCTTGTACACTTTATGTTTACATTAAGGATTTTTCATTCATTTGGAACAAACTCTGCTCAAGTAAATAACTGGAATTACCCCCAAAATGAGGCCAAACAAGAGAAAAAACCCGGAGGCCCTACAGGAGAGCAGAGAACCACCACACCCTCAAGAGGAGCTGCTTTAAGAGGAATTCCTTTCCTCTCCACAGTTCCCCGCAGAGCACACACAGAAAACACAAAACACACTGAACACAGAAATTCACCATTGCGTGAACCTCCCTACAACAGCAGAAACCTGCTCCGTTCCCTCAGCCATGCCATGGAGAGGGCTGAGGGAACAGCAACAATTAAATACGTGGCCTAACTAAACAGGGCTTTTAGCAATGACTAAGCAACAAAAGTCATTTTTCAGAGGGATCCTGATAGTCAGCTACTTCTGCAGGCACTTGCAGCTCGTAACACCACCATCAGAGATCCCTTCAAATTATATTTTTCATGTGTTTCAAATTAATAAATAAGAGTAAAAATTATTGCATGTGCTGCAGAGACACATTACTTAAAGACTATTTATTTATTTAATGTTAGTGATGTGAATAGAATTTGTGGCAAAAACCCCTTCACATGCAGTGAAGGATGTAGGATAAAAACTTCACATTTAATTATATTTCTACCAAGTGATATGTTGAAATGAAGCCCATCTCAGGGTGCTCACCTACAATCACATGGCACAAATTCCCTTACTATATATATATATCTATTCTTCAGCTGTGGATTGCTTCATAGTTACTTATTATTTTATTTTTCTTATGAGATGCCTATCTACATGTATTTCAGAAACCTGAAGAGAATCAAACTGTAAACCTACAGTCTCATTAAAGAAAAAAAATGTTGAACAAGAGAGGAAGGAGTAAAAAAATTTTCCAGCCTCAGGGAGAGGACTAGAACAGAAAACACTGCAAAAATGTGCAGGGCTTGAGAACCCAACATTTTACGTGATGCTAACAGGCAAGCTTAACAACTGTGTCTGTTACTAAAATGCTCACACTCCATAAGAATTTGTGCATCGTGAGCATGAAATCTTCCCCTCTGCAGCTTAAAATATCTATGCATTTAAAAACCATCTGCAAAAATAGACATAACTTCCCCACTGCAAAATTAATTAGAGAGCAGGAATTTCATCTCACTACCACCAATACATGTGATGATGCCACATGTAAACACATCACACTTGCTTTGGCACTGGAGAGCAACAGAAATGGTAAACTTAATAACATTCTGTGAAAATGTCACTTTCTCGAAGAAGCTGATTAATATCAGTGAAGGTGGAGGATGGGCACCGAGAAGGCCATGCTGGATTAACCTGCCACTAGAGCGTGCTCCTTGATCAGCACGGAGCCCATTTACCCACTCCATTGCTGGGGTTTTTCCACAGAATTTTTTGATTTTTCTTCTCTTCCATTTCTTTTAAATGAAATCCCTACTGTTGTTGGATTGGGACTTAAGTCTCAATTTTTAAATTTAAAAAAAAAGTAAAAATAATCAAAAGTTTTTTTTCAACAAACAAACAAGTAACTTTTGTTTTTTAAATGATTGACTACGGTTTTGCTTGTTTTGATTTTAAACCATACATAGTTAGGGAAAACAAGACAAAAAAAATAAACTACGTGGTCATAAAAAATACTGATGTGCATTTTATAAACTGAATGTGGCCCATTAGGGAGAGAGGAATTACCCACTTTTAGGAAGTATTGTTGACTGCTGCCTTCCCACTAGACCACCTGTTAATAATATTTGATGTTGTTTTCTTTCTGTATGATGAGTATGACTATAAATGAGATACTTGATCTGCTTGCTACAACTTATTCCCTCTAATGCCTCTATTTCAAAGACCATCCAACCAACAAATGACACCAGCCTCAAGGCAATGTCCCAAGTGAATGTGCATCTCTGTTGCTCTTCCTTATCCACTGTCATTTCCATAATTCATCCTCTTAACGATTTACGAAGTGCAGAGGATATTTCCAGAGCACATCAAGGGGGCTCAAAAAGTCTTATAGCTGACTGACTGCCAAGGGCACATGAAGGAAGCAAGAAGTGTGTACAACTATTTTGGAAACAAGATGCTGAAATTCTCATTCTTTCCATTTGACAGATACTCCAATTCTTTGGCCTAACCATAATGCATGCTATTTGGATAAAAGCATTTAAGTTTTATAAGGATATGCTTATTGAAAAAATCAAACACAGGAATCATTTTTACAAAACTGGAAGGCAGAAGTATTTAATTTTTAAAGACTACCTCCAATAGTACTGTTTCATGACTGGTGTTGCAAATACTACAGCCAGTATTTCGCATACTCATTAAAAATGATGTCTGGAGCTTGCAGTCCTTTTTCCCAAAAAAAAAAAAAAAATCACCCTTCAAAATGTAAGCCACTCAAAAGCACTGTAAAGCTGGTCATCGTTCTCATTCCTGAAAATCCTCCATTTTACCATTTTAGAATTTGGTAAATAAATAGATTTTTCTCTTTTTTCCCCCCCTTTCTCCCTTGCCACTCTAAACAATCTCTAGCAGCTTTATTTAACGCCATCAACCAATATCACTGTCAGCACTCCGAGAGCAGAAGGCTGCTCTGTACTTTGTGCCTGCCTCTGAATTCATGACCAGAGATTCACCCTCACCACGCACAGAAAAGGAGCAGTCTTCATCTTCCCATTTACCCCCATTAAGTCAGTGCCATCATGTTCTCCCAGGAGAAAAGTGCAAGAGCTGGAACACCGCAAGCGACAGCAGCCAAGGGCACTCAGAAATAAGGTCTGCCCTTGCTGCTCTTGGATGTGAAAAGGAAAGCTCCAAACTGCAGGGCAGTGACCGTGTACTGCCAGAGTCTCCCTTCCTTTTGAACAGATACCAGGTAGCTGGGATGGAGCACATACCTCAAACTGGGCTTTAATTTGCTTGGAAATGCATGTTAAAATAGCGGGACTTGGTGCTAAACTGGACCAAAAGCAGGTTGTATCATAATTATGTCATATCTAATTAAATCCATATCACCAAAATAGAGAATTACCAGCATAGATACAAATGTCACTTGGCAGCCACAGTGATTCCCAAACCTGCAGCTGGAGCACAGCTCAGGACAGAAAAGTGTAAAAAAGCTACTGACTGAATAGCCTGATTGCTAGAATGTCATAGATTTTGCTTTGTTTTATAGTGTTGTAGTAACACCTTACTCCAGGGAACAACAGGTTCTTGGATTTCAGAGATCCAGTTCCATTGGTACATGGAGTTATCATCACATCGATGGCTCCTGCACTCTGCCAGGAGACTTAAGCTCAGGTTTGTAGTGAAAATAAGCAGGCAGCATTAATCTAGTTACCATTTATATATAAATTACAGTTACCCCCCCAAATCTTAGCTTTAAAAGTGTCA